CAAAATGCAACACTCCGCTTTCATCTTTTTATCTCTCCTGTTCCTGTTTTTTTCATTCCACTTTCTTTCACACGGAGCAGAAGAATTCGCTTCGTGGCGAAATTCGCTTGGCGGGCAATTCGAAACTTCGAGGACCTTGCCTCCGAAAGTTCAACTGGCCACTTGTGGCCTCGACGGCTGTTAGTATCGCGAATACTTAGAGCAGTTCGCGGCAGTTCTATCGATCTTCGCGTGAACGAGCCGAGTACAGACGTGATCCCCGACATCGCGTGTTTCGATGGACATCGAAGGAACTCGAGAACTCTGATTTCTCGGGAACTCTCGTGCGTTCGTCCTATTATATTTTCCACCGTCTCGACGTTGGTGAACTCTCGATGGTGGATTAAGCTTTTTATGCATTTGAGAAACGTAATGAAAGTGTATGGAGTGCGCATAATATTGTCCGAAATAATCTAAAATGTGTGAAAGAAGTTTTTAAAATTCCCGCGTGTCTGTTATAATGTATGATAGGTGAAATGAAGTGAATATTCATCTGGGCGAGAATAATGATAAACTGCGAACACGTATAAAAATATCCAAAATACAATATCTGTTATAGCGTATGATCGGTAAAATAAAGCTAATATTTAATATTATTTTTATAATTATTTTTATAATTATTTAATACTTAATAGATTACTTATAAAACAATTTTTTATCTCTTTGAAGGACATAGTGAATTATAAAAATACATAGAATATTCCCAATACACAAAAAAAAAAAAATTTAAAATATCCAAAATACAGTATCTATGATCATATATGTGTAATAGATAGACGTACTTTCTTGTATGAAAGAAAAATTCACAGAATTCATATAACATCTGAACTATATGAAATATCCAAAATACGTTATCTCCTGTAATATTGAACGAACGGAGCAGAGTTCCACTTTCTAAATTATTTTCAAAAAAAAAAAAATACGTATTCATGAATTGTAATAAAATAAGTTGAATAGTACGAAGGAAGAAACGTAGCAAAGCTTTTGGTTTGCGAATCAAAAATCCGATTGAAGTGCAATTTTTTAATTCATAATTTCTAGTAAATTCCCAACAACTATAAAATTCAGTCGTGGTATAAAGCTTTGAAAATTTAGGAGAAAAAATTACAAATTGCTGTAGTCTAACTACGTGTATTACTAGTTGAAGGATTGAAGCTGCTTTCTCGATTAAGTCTGTACTTGGAAGTGAACCGGAAGCTTCAGCCATATTGAACTCTTCTGTAAACCAAATTCACTAAACTACGCCAGTAGAAATTGATCTTGCTGATCGATATTCGCAGCGAAATAATTACTTAAAAATTTTTTAATGTAACGAACACATTTTCGAACGATCGGTCACCTCATGCTAAAAGGATTGTTACGACAGTCAACCGTTAACCTTGAAGTTCCTGTTGCCGAGTGAGGGCCGTATTTAGAACTTCATCGGACTGAAAGAAGCGAATGAACCGGTTCCATGTAGATCCCGCTCTATCAAACTTTACTGCTGCACTCAGAGTACTGAAAACACGCTTGTATTCTCCCTTATCGCGTTTTCTGTCTATCTTTCTGCATTATTTGGTAATAATTACTATGTCATAAGAATTTAACGTAGAATCTAATCAAAAATTATTTTGTGAGGAAATCTTCAATCCTTTTGGCTGTATGGATTTTCAAAAATTGTACTTAACGTCTATTTTTTTTTTTTTTTTATTTTTTTTTAAGTAGATGAATTATCTATCGTGTTCCAATTTTGGTGACCTCTAGCTCTAATCTTGAAATAGGATTTAACAAGTCTAATGTTGGGTTGAGAAACTTTCAATTCGTGTGATCTTTTTCTAATTATCGAAAAAAAATTATTGCTAGGAAAGTTCCACTATTTTGAAATATTTTTTATCTACGACATATGAACACTTAATACATTTGTTATATTCTTTAATTTGTTCTTGAAATTAATTCAGCTTAAGCAACTCTATAGTGAAATTTGACATTTCATTTCTTTCACGAATTTTTATTGTATTTTATTTAGTCGGCTCTATGATGCAATTAATTCTCAATCAAAATGAAATAATAGTGAAACTTCACATTTTCTCCTCTGAATCTTGTAAAGTATTCCAGTAACAACTTCCTATATGTGAAAAACGAGTGTCTTCCTGTTTAAAATTATTTTTATACAGTTAAAAAAATATATATATAGTTACATAAGCGTAATTCGCTTTCACTCACCGCTGATGCTATCAATCTTGTAATAACAATTTTATATAATTAAAAGAAGTTCTTCCTGGCAGGCAGATACTTTTCATTTATATCTTTATACACTGCCAAGAGGAGATTTAATATCCGAGTAAGGTCAACGAACTATCGAAGATTCCGTTCCGTCATCCTCATCCAATGAGATCCTTGCTGTACTTCTTTTCCTTCATGCTCAATCCACTTTTCTTTTTTTATCATCGACAGATAATCAGATATCCTTTTCATCCGTATTCGGACGTACATGGTCGTACATTGAATCGGTCACAAATTTAAAAGCATTTGTCAAGTATTAAAAATCAAAAAAAAAAAAAAAAAGAAAAATCATAGAACATTGTTCTTTCACCATTGTTCAATCTTCGGTCGTATTGTTATCTACTTGTGCAATGTTGCGTGACGCGAGAAACCGGAGAAAGGAAAATAATACAATCGACCTATCGAGTAATAGTGGAGTTAACAATTCGTTTGCTTTCGTGTACGAAATATTTATATATTCAAAGTTTGATTGTATTTCCAATTTAAATGTGATTATATTTTCATATTTATATATACTAATTTAAATATTCAAAGTATTTTATGTATACTAATAAATATGGAAATATAATCACATTTAAATTTGATATTGAATGTTAGAAATTGAACATTAGATATTTAGTTATTACTAAGCAAATATTAGATATCTTTATTTAAGTTGCTAATAATGAACACAGAAATGAATTTCCAAAGTTTACTAGATTGCGAATCTTTTCATGCAGTTTCGTATCCTTCTGAGCACAATTTCAAAAACAAGAAATAGAAAGGTAGAATTCCTATTTGTTTTCAAATGTTACAACCAGGCTGCGAATTCGTACTTTTGAGAATGTAGTTAGAAAATATAATTGGCAGAAAATTTTCTCCATTCTTTTCCTTAAATTGCCAAATTATTAGGCAAATTTATACTTTGGGAAATATAATGAAAAAGATAGAATCTGTCTGACGTGAATGTAATATTAGAAAAATAAAAAAAAAAAAATAAAAAAATAGGACACGCGTCTTTTGTATCTGTATAAAAATGGGATTTCTCATGAGCGTCAGACGCATGCGCATTGAGCGAGTGCGCATCAAGATCATGCGCGTTGAACGAGTGCGCATCAGGTGCATGCGCGTTAGAGAAGCACGCATTCAAGCGGGCTCGAACGCAACATTTGAAAATATAGAAAAACGAAGGAAATCGAGAATCCATCAATATTTAATATTCAGTGACACTCGAACAAGTGTGAAATGAAATTTTAATAGGATAGGTTAGGTTCGTTTAAGTCCATTTAAATTCAAACACACTTGGAAATATCATTGCAAATAGTGAAAAAATTAGAGTCGTTTGAATCCAACTTTCGAGGTACTCTACTTGACCAATTATCTACGTTCGTTCTGTAAAATAAAAAAATACCATTTACTTTGAAAACTCCAAATTTCAATAAGAAGTAATACAAATGTCACACAATAAAACTGCTATGTGTTTTATATAAAAAAAAAAGTTTGAATCCACCCTGAAATCAACTGAATTTCTTAAAAAAAAACTTACTTTTAATTTCTCTTGTTTATGAACATTTTTTGACAATTTTCAAATTTTTAGTAGCAGTAAGCCTTTTCAACAATCGAATGAAAATGTAATCCTTCCTCGCTTTGCTTTACATTCTTTTTCGCAAAATTTATAATTTACACGAAAGCGTTCGACGTTCACACTCGCCATTGCTTGATTTTAATTACGCGAGCGATTTTTAAAACCGAATTCCGCAGTGAATTCTAATGGTTGGGTGAAGAAAGGACAGGTACGAAGAGGAAGTTGGTGGGGCACTTGGGCCCCTTCCCCTTTCACCTTCGCGAAAGAGCGAACGAGCACGCAACACGGCCGCGATTTCTTTTCACCTTGGATACGTGGCCGTGTGCCGATACCAGCGCCACGATCGTCGAGGAACCGGAATTCTCGATCCGCTCGATGCGTCGTGGAAACGAAGCATGCTCGGCGATGCGCCAGCTGCGTGATCGGTTGTTTGTACGCTGTGTGATCCACGCACGTGGACGTTTTTCGTTCGAATCGTTGACAAAAATCCCTCCTAACGTTCGCCATTGAACGATCGAATCCGACTGACGTTCGCGCGAATGTTTCCTCTCGCTGCGAAGACCTAGCTTTAACCGTAGCGATTGTTTACGCGCGAAAGTGAGACCAGTGATCCTCTGACGAACGTGTATCAGTGTAATTCGAACGATCGTTGCAAGGAATCGTCGGACCTCGTGAATACGCGTAGTTTGGTGGTGTCTTTTTTTCCAGCGGGACCGACGCTGGACGACGTAGAAAGAACTCGTTTCACCGGTAGTCGCGGAACAAAGACGTGCCTACGCTGGACAGACAGACGTGTTCCGTGTTAGGCATGACCAGCGTTTTATCGAAAGATCGTCAATGTCAAGGATGATTATTTATAAGAACGACATTGTGGAAGCGTTTCTTTTTTATTTCTAACTATTAGACCGACTAAGACTAGACTTCGTGTTTCAATTGTTGTTGATCTGTTCTAATCTGATAAAAGATGTCGCTGATTGGCATTCTAACCTAAAATCGAAATCGTTGGAGAAACAATAATAATTGAATGGTCGGTGATATTTAGAGATTCAGGGCAAGGCAAATGACCAATTAAAATAAAGTCCAGTCTGAATGATTGAATATTCGTGACCGAGAGAAACGAATCGACCGTGTCGAAATGAAAACCGACATGCCGGACGTTAAGCGAGGAGAGGTTAAAGTCGATGATCGCGGCGGAGCTTCGAAGCAAGCTCCGAAGCACGGTGAACAGGACTGCCCTAGTGAAAACGAGTCGTTGGAGTACGAGGAGGACGTTTATTATTCGAACGTGACCGCGACGCCAAGTTTCGACGACATAGACCAGCTGAGCGACGACGCGGGAGAGATCGTCGTTCACTGTTGGCGGGATTCGAACGGCGACATTGACGAGATCGTGGTGGACGACGCGAATTTCTCAGTGGAAACGCAGTTCCTGATGCCAGAGACCGAGGAGGGTGCCGCCGGCGGCTCGAGGAAGAAGAAAAAGTCGGTTCGCGTGATATTCCAGGACTTCTCGAAACCGTACCTGGCCAAGATCAGCAGCAGCCAGAATTACAAGAAATTCCTCGAATTGGTAAAAGGTGCAGAATAAAATTCGCGACATTGGTGCGCGAAACTTCCAGGGTGTTGAGCATTTCGGTCTTTTATATTTGGGTGTCTTTTTTTTCTCTCTTTCTCTCTCTCTCTCATGTATAATGAATAGATTTATTTATTCAACTTTGCTGTGATAGACGAATTGGCAAATTATATTAATTATTAATAGGAAAATTATCAAATTATTAGAGAAGCTTCAGAGAGTCGAGCATTTCAGTCTAAGTGAAACTTTAATTAATAATATAAGTTTGTATAACAAAGAATTTATTTAATTTTGACGAGCAGATGATCTATAAGAAGAGAGACGAATTAATAGAGAAATTAACAAATTATTACAGCGAAGCTTCAGCCAATCGAGCATTTCAGTCTTTGTATTTAAGTGTCTTTTTCGTATGTGTAACAAATAAATTCATTTATTCAATCCAGACGTAATAGAACAGATGCCTTATAATACAAAAGAGAGATGAATTAATAGAGAAATTAGCAAATATAGTAATATACGAGTGAAGATATGGATTATAGATCGAGTGTTAATTTTTTTACACGCATTTTGAAATTATTGACCATGGCGGTCATCTTCCGATCGAAGAATCTTAAATCGCTTCAAAAAATAAAGTCCACTCTGAAATAATATAGAATTGCTTTGAAAAATCGTGGGAAACGAAAGTTAATATTGTTAATGATTCTGAAAAGGAAGGTTAAATAATTTAATTTGGAATTATTCCGTACGAGAGATGTTCGACTTCTTGTTCTGAAAAAAATTAAGAAATTGATTATTCTATTTAGATAAGGAAATTTAGTGTTTGAATAAAGGCAACGGTTCGCCTGTTTTTTTCATGCTGACAAGAAATGTCTGTCATGCTCTATTGTAGCTGTGACGCTTATTGTTGTTATTTCACGGTCCACGGGCTATTATTATTTAGCGTCCTCTACGAGCGGTTGACATCGATATTTAAATCAAAGGCAGCGAACTATACTCAGTCTGCCAGTTTCTCTACCATGAATATTAGTTCCCAATATTGTTCCACAGCGGGCCATACAAACTACTTTCCCTGTCTTTTTTAGTAATTTTAGTAACCACACAAAAGAAACAATTTGCTTGTATACACGTGTAACCTAATGCGAATATTGTGGCCACGACACTCTCAACGCAGTGGAGGGGATCGATGTAGTGGAGGGAGTAGCGCTAAGAGGATCAGGAAAGTGGGGGCAATGGCCGCCAGTTAGCCACCTTTGGACTTAAGTGACAGCATCTTAGAAGTCCGGGCAATCAAATTTGAAGTATTTGATCTGAGAACCGATGAATGAACATAAAGCAGAAAGGAAAATTATAGTCGGACAAGCGATACTTTTCGCTGTTTGAAGCAAAATCACGAAAACAATAGGCTAACGTGGATATAATCAGAAGCCGTCGTCTTTCAGCTTTTTCCATCGTCGCTGTAGATTAATATAATCAAACAACACACTTTCGAGAGCTCGAAACACGAAAGATGAATCTTCGTTTAATTAGGAATTCTCATTGACGCGATCGTATGTAGCCGGTGAAAGAAGTTACAAAAGGCGCGAGTGGCTTTCGACGTTTCAATCTTCTTTACGGTCGAACGATAAAAATTTATCGCGACCGGTAATATCGTTTCCCCTTTAAATAAACTACGAAGTGAAATTACAAAAGTGGCGATGCAACATTCTCTCTCGGGTACCGTTGCACGCTGGAAGCAGATATTCACTTTTGTACGTTTACGACTTTCATCTACATTTGCCATTTTTGTATACTTCGTTGCAATTCGTGGGTTCGCCATCTGAAATGGAAATTGCCGCGAGAAAACACGTACAGTTTGACAATGAGGCATGCAGCAGCTGCAAATCTAGACGAAGAAGCACGTACATTTAAATCAATGCTCAATGGCAGCTGTGTATCGGGATTTTGTAATGCAAGCGCGATCCAAACAAGTCTTGCAGCCGATGCGATTATCATTCTGTAAATACAATTTTGTAAATCGTAAATGGTCGATCTAATAATAATGGTACGGAGGAAATCCGACTCGAAGAATCTGATGGAAGCCTTTTGCCGTAGTTAAAAGTGCAACGTGCTATTCCCGGTTTATTAATATTAGATCTAAATTGACCAATATCGATTGACAAATTATTATGGATGTAAAATTGTGTATTTTTCGAGATTTAAATAATTTTAAAAATATTGCGTTATAACCTCACGAAGGTTTCCTTATGGTTTAATATAATTATCGGTAGTTCTAAAATTAAAATTATTACATTGTAATTGTAACGATGTTCAATGTTTAATTAGAAATATAATTTTATAGTCTAAGTGGAAGAATTTATGCGATAACATACTGGTTGAAAATATATAAGTACGTTCTGAACGACGCCTCGAGATAACAGACAATCGCACGCTCACACATCTCACAGCATTCATCGATATATTCCAACACTAAGCTTGCATCTTATTACGCTTCTTTGAGAGTTCACGTCTCGAGGGAAAATGTACATACAGTTGCTTGCGGAAATACTCGAACAATTGCAGAAACTACGAATATATGTTACATAAACATACTGAAAGTTCATTCGAATATTCAAAGATTAAATGCGTTTGAATGCTTGAAGACTCAGGATGTTAAGCATTCACTTTTCTTTTTATAATTCAGAAAACTTAGGTTACATCGGCTGGGAAAAGAAATTGCTTGCTTCCTACTGAAATAAATGCTTTTATTAAATTTTCAATATATTTTCTTTCCTCAGCATTTGAAAGAAATAATTTTTTTATTAAAGATCATTAAGTTTGAACTTAAATTTAAAATTAATAAAATTAGCTTTTATATTTATAGTTTTGTTTATATTGGTTATATTTTATGTTTAAAATTAACAAAATTAGTTTTTATATTTTGATGTTTAAAAAAAAATAAAATAAAATTGAGAAGGAACATTTTGCCCACCCTATACAAGCGTCATATTATGCTGTTGAATAATCGAAAAGACGATATCATACGATATTTAAACGAGAAGTTAACACGATCTAAAATAGGAAGCTATGAAATATGCACCGCTAACGATCGAAAGATACGTAAGACTTCTATTTTACTTGAACTATACTATCGGCCAAAAGTTTGTGTGTACTTGCTTCAACTTGTGCAATTAGTTCAATATTTCCCTACATGACGCAACATTAATGAAATATTTTAAAGGAGGAAATTGTTATCGACATCATGTTGTGTTAGTGATTTGATAATAGTACATCGACATATTGTCGTGTTAGTGATTTGATAATAGTAATATGTGTTTATTAAATACAATAATTAAATACAATAATAGGTTGAATAAGTACAATATTTTATTAGTAATTTAAATAGTTGTTATTAATTATTAATAATTATTATTATTGGTAATGAATTGGTAATAAATTATTATTAATAGTTAAGAATAATTTCACAAGTTTGACGTTTAAGTCTTTGGCCAGTAATGTATTTTCTATTTTTGCACAAAATTCAATGAAATTCTGAGACTTTGCGCAGTGCAACGCCGCGAAATGCATTTACTTTGACATAAGTGAAAGCGATGGAACGCTCATGTGGTGTATTCACGGATGATGGATTTTCGAAAACCAACTTGGAATAGATTAGCTTAACGAACGCAGTAATTATGCGTTTTTAAACAGCAACGCGGTAAATTTCCATCCAGAAAGAGAAGATTTCAGAACAATTTTTC